ATTGGGTTCAGGTAATCAATTCACTTTACTTTATTTTTGCTTTATTTATTTAATATATGACATTACTTTATTTTACTTTATTTATTTAATATATGACATTACTTGATAATTTATTTTTAATAATTAGGTAAACATGAAAGACGAGTTCCCCTTACTCCCGGTTCCGACAGATTGTAAGAAGTTTCGTGCACTAGATGCAACTTCTTGGATGTTAGGATTTGCAGGATGTCTACAACTTCGGCTACAACTTTCACCTTCATTTGTTAGTTTAGTATAAGTGCCTTATCATTATTTTATATTTTGTGTAATGTTGACTCAACTTGTTATCACCAACATTCTTATATTATAACATATAATGAGCATTATAACACATAACGAAATACATAAAAAAAACACATAACGAAATACATTAAAACAACACATAACAAAATAACTTAGAACAAAACATCTAGACACTGCAAGACGATTATGGGCGTTGCAACATTTTTATAACGTCATCAGTAGATTTGGTAATCTGCGCTTTAAACTCAATTGGCCCCTTAGTTAACCTACGACAATATGATTTTCACATGACCTTCATATCTTCATCGCTACACTACTCTACAACATTGTAACTTACCTTTCTATCAACATCCATGTTCCAATTTTGTCTATATGAAATCTTCCTCACCCTTATGTTATCACCTTCAGGTAGTAACTCGTAGTCAAACGTTTCCTTTAATGACTCGAGGTAACGATGACAGAAACACCATCCTCGTTAGGATCAGATTACCCTGTTTCATACTCAGGAACTAGCACCTCTCTTGGTGCACTCCGAGGTGGCGGTACTAACCGAGGGTGTGACACACGATAATACTAATCCAAATAATCAAGATCAGTCTCTGATGCAAAGGTGACATGTGATGTCGGACAAACCACCTCAACGACACTCTCATCGTAACTAATCTAGTCTACATCGACATCAAGATTAGTAACAATAGGAGGTAATGGTGGAATATACTACATCAATTCAAATTGACGTAAACATCTATGAGACAAGTAGAGAACAATAATACCTCCTCACTGTAGGCCTCCTCGGTACAAAGTAATCTCGTCAAACGCATGCCATTCTTTGTGATCCTCAAATGGGCGCCATATGACATTAATCAGTGTCAACACGTTCAAAATAGATCACAAAACATCCACCTTCAGGGCTCCTTGCTTGTACGACTGTCTCACCGCTCTAGGAAGTCCATGGTTTTCAAATGGTGTCCAATTTTCTTCCTTTCTTCCAAGTGTCAGAAAATACTCGTGAATCCAACACCGTTTCAATGTCAACAATTTTAATTAAAAAAAAATACTACATTAGTATAATAAACTATTTAATAAAGACATTTAATAAATACCTGAAGAAGAGTGGGATATCCAGCAAGTTGTTTGCAACCAAATGCACATGCATCTCCAACAACATCGTATTGGATAACCAATGCAGTTGCTCTCCAACTATAATGGTGAAGACCATTCAAGTCCCTGAATAACAACAAATATTTTGCCTCGACAAGCGTAAATGTCTTGTCAATAAAAATAGTGCAACCAACAACAACAGATATGCTCTGGTCGCATATGCCCAAGAAGAAGCAACCCGATGCTCTACAAATAAATCATACAATCACTCCAACTTATTGTGGGCACCTCTGCATGCTTGAACCTTGCAACAGACCTTGTCACTTCTAAGTAGTTAACAACAAGATCAGCAGCAAAATCTTTTGTAGCGTGCTCAGGACTCTAGAAGGCACTCCTTATGGGTAAGTGAAGCAGACACGCAACATCATCAAGAGTAATCGTCATCTCACCCTATGGCATGTGAAATGAAGATGTCTCTAAATTCCATCTCTTTGCAAAAGCTGAAAGCAGGTTTGAGTCTATCTCTGACAAACTAGTTCTTTGAAGCGAAGTCAGACCAGATCGTATCACCCAATACTCAATCTCTTTGGGGAGTTGCTGCGAAACCCAACTCTGCAGCTTCAGCCCATGTGCAACACATTTAAGTTCCTTCTTCACACCTCTATCTTGAAAACAAAAATACTCATATTAATAAACACAAATGAAAATTATAAATTTATTTAACATAAATTTTTCATTTACTTACCTCCCTATATCATATACGTCGAGCACAATGATGCTCATATCTAACCAGGAGAGATAAGTCAGACGATTCTTCTGGATATCCTTCAGGCTCCTGTGGAGACTGTGAAGCGGAACCAGATGTGTGACACCCCAAATTAATTCAAGTGTTAAATAATTAGGAATTTAATTATTAAATTAATTAAAGGCTTAATTAATAATATTTTGGATTAAATGGATGAATTAATTATGAAATTAAAAAGGAAGACCGGGGGGTGTAAGGTTGAATTAGAGGTGTGTGAAGTAAAAAGCTCTACTAAATAATAATTAATTTATTACTATTATTTGGAAAATAATAAAAGGAATATAAAAAGAAGGATAAAAAGGAAAAGAAAAAGAAGGTTATTTGAAAAAGTCATTATACGTGAAATTGGAGAAGAGAAGAGAAGAGAGGAAAAAGCCAAACGCCGTGAATTCGAAGGATCATCGCGAGGTAAGGGGTGATTTCGATTAGTTAATTCATATTATCGGTTTAGATATTCAATAGTATGGATCATAGTATGTTAGGGAATCCCGGTTTGGAATTCTAGGGTTCCGTAGAATTGTCCCTATTGCGTCGAATTGTAGGTTGAAAACCATTAGGGTGTCAGATGATAAAAAGGAATGATGAAATAATGCTGTTTGATGTTATAATGGTGCAAAATGGATGTGTTTTGGTGTTTCTCATGTTGCAATTCGTATGGGTATGCTTGGAATTGGTTTAGAATGAATAAATGCTGTCAAAAGTGCAGAATTTGACTCTGCAGGTCGTGGGAACCGGTTCCCAGTGGGGAGGAACCGAGTTCCACTGTGTGAATTTATAAAAACTGGTAAAAATGCACGTAGGAATCGGTTCCTGTATAGGTAGGAACCGAGTTCCCATACATTTTCCAGAAGCGTGATTTTTGAACTTCGCATGAACCGGTTCCTGTATATGTAGGAACCGGGTTCTGCTGTAACTTTTTGAAAAATATTAAACTTTGAAAATTCATAACTTTCAAACCGTAAGTCCGTTTTGAGTGCCGTTTTGGACGTTATTTCTTAAATTTAATGCTCTATTTTATAAAATGAAAAGATTTCCTAAAACCTGAAATTATTTTGAAAATGAGTCAAATCCCGGAATAAGTGATTATTGGTTAACGCACATGGGTGTGTATGTAGCAGTGAACCTGTGATGGATGGATGTATTAGTATTGTGTGAATGAAAGGCATGTTTATGTTGCTAATGATGGTGTGCATGATCGTTGAGATATCATGTTTTTGATTTTGGTTCAGTTATGATAAATTGATGTATTTCATAGACTGATTTGATGTTGCATGCTAGTGATGTGCGTGCATATGCATTGTTTTGGTGAAGTTAATTCCCATTGTGTGGAATTTGACTTGTATTGCCGTTAACCGATACCCGGGTGATGATGGGTGGTTAGGCTGGATTCGTGTCCGGGTGTTTATGGATGAATCGATGGTTGCTGTATCCGGTTGATGATTGATCAGTGTTGGGTGACTTGGTCACGTGTTGGTACCACATGCATTGTGTCTGCATTTGTGTTTGCATGGAATTGTAACATGTTAGGATGTCTTCCAGTGTTACAATTCTTTGGTTGATTATTGATTTGTGCATAATGACTTGTATGATTGGAACTGTGTGTTGAATCTGAATTTATGCTAAAATGGGTGAAATAATATGCTTGTGATATAATGTTGATTGAGAAGCTTATAATGCGTGTTAATTATGAGAAATCTCACCCTTACTTTAACAATTTCAGATTAAAGTTAGCAGCTCAGGAGTTGGTGAGGATGGCTCTAGAGCTATGTTACTTTAAGTCCGCGTGTCAGTGTCGTGCTCTGATAGGTTGTAACACTGGGGAACATTTAGTTGAGGAATTAGTTATTATTCAATTGTTTCTTTGAATTTCATTGGGAATAATTATGTTTTGGTTTATTCCGTTTTGGTTATGGTATTTTTCTGCTGTGTAAGACATGGTCTTAATTTGATTGAATTATTTGAATAATGACCCTCAGTGTAGCATGACTACTGTTTTATTGGAAGTTTTATTTATTTCATAATTGTGACATCCCTTGTTCCGTGTTAACTCTGATGGAATATGTCTTTAATCATTGATATAATTAATATTATTCGGGGTATTTTAGAAGGGGTGTTACAAGATGCACCATCATGTTATACCTCTATCTAAATGCTTTTTCTATGCCTCAGAGGAAGCCTACCGCCAGAACCTAATGTACACATTCTGTAAAGAAAAAAAAAGTAAAAAAAACCAAATCGGAACACATCTTAAAAGTGGAAAATTTTGAAAGACTTCTAAAAAGTGTTCCAATGTGTTATTTTATAAAGCTGAACAGTTTTCAAAAGTGTTCTGAAATTAAAACTCAAACCGGAACACTTCTAAAAAGTGTTATGGTGAAGTAAAATTCTCAGAAGACTTACAAAAAGTATTTCAGTATGCTATAATTTTTGAAAGACTTACAAAAAGTGTTTCAGTATGCTATAATTTTCGAAAGACTTACCTAAAGTGTTTTAAAGTGCAAGTTTGTGAATCAGAATGTGTTCCGGTATATATTCTGATTCAAAATTTTTCAGAAGAGTTTGTGAGCGTGAAAGTAAAAATAATTTTTTTTTTTGAAAGTTATACTATTTATATGAAGGAATGTCCAAAAAATTTAATTGTAGGGATACAAATATAAAAGTAGGTATATGAAATAAAATTTTCTTTGACCGCGTACTCCACTAGAAGTATTTTGTTGGGCCCATCGAAAAAAGCCCCACTTGAACAGGCCCATATGAATCCGGTGCTTTTTGTTTTCTCCGGTGGAGTACGCGGTGAGCGTCGACCGGCGAGATGCAGCGCGGATTAGTAACGTACAAGATATACAGAGCCCTAAGCTACGGCGTATCACCGTTTATCCGCCTCCACCTGCGGTGGCGTAGATTCCGAGGCCTGGAACATCTCCAAAGGTGGCCGGAGCGGCTAGGTCACCCCTCTCTACCTCGGCGCCCAGGTCCTCTCGTATGGTTCCACGCCGTTTCATTAGGCGAAGGAATGATCGCAATTCCTGTAATCAAGCACTGCATTCAGAGAATGCCTCACTTGAATGTGCTCATGACCACCACCACTCTCTCTGCATTGTAACTCACTTGTCTGCTTCCACCTTTTCCACCACCATTTCAATTTTGTTACTTTTTATTCGTTACTTTGTTTTTTGTTTCATTTGAGAAGATAATCAAACTTTGGTGAAATTTATTCTGACATTTGTTTTTGGTGTAATGCAGTGAAGTCTTGAGCAACTGGCTTCCAACTGAAGTCATTTTACAGGTACATGGTTTTAAAAAATAGTCCGATTGCGGTCGTCACAGTGTGAATTAACCATAATTTATTCTTTAACATAAAAACAGTGATAACCGTATTGGTTAAAGTGGTTTCTTCAGGGTTGATGATTATTTACTATATCTATATTAGTTTGAATAGATGTTGTTAAATCTTTATGGAAAATACCATTTTGTCTTCATTTTCTTTATTTTCAATTCAGGAATAACACATTGTTTTGGCCTTATGAAACATGCAAATTTGCAGTTTTCGCCGGTTGATATACCTGCTTCCATTAGTTCTTTCCTTCATTACTGGAAACCAAATGCTATTATACTAATGGAAAGTGAACTCTGGCCAAATCTCATAATGGATGCTTCCAAAAATGGTGTAAGTCAAATCTTATTATGAGCACTTATTGATACGGGAGAGGAAAATAGTTTAATGTTTTATTCATGCTTTCTAGAATTGGAACTGATAAGTGATAACCTACTGAATACAGTGATCGCTAAACATCGGTCAATATCATTTTTCTTAGTTAGGAGCAAAAAGAGAAGACCAAATAATTTGTTCATTCATTTGCTTCACTTTTGCAAATATCATGTACATTGTGTGATCCGTGTCATTTTGTTTCACCAAATCTTACGTAATATAACCTATTTTACTCTTGTAGATAACACTGGCACTGTTAAATGCTCGGATTTCTGAAAAATCCTTTAATCTTTGGTCAGGATCATTGTTTCTTCCGTTGATTTCATTGATGTTATCCAAGTTTTCCTTGATTGTTCCATTGGTATGTAATATCCTAGTTATTTTACGTTTACCATAATTCATATGTTTATTATGCTGTTATTGAACGTTTTGATTGCATAGAGTACAGAGCAGGGTCTCCGATTTCAGCTTCTGCAAGCCCCTCCTTATATCATAAACTTCTCTGGTGATCTAAAGTATGGTATGTCATAAAGTTTTTTATTCAAAATCACTGAAATTGAATGTATATGACATTCTTGTGTTCTTTTTCTCTCTTGATTGCTTTGTTGAAATTTCAACTTTTCAAGCACAGCAAATGATTACTATCATATTTTTTCTTGGATTTTTTAGTTTCCCCCCCTCAAAGTGATAAAATGGTCTGTACTAATATGGTCTTATCACTCTTCATTCAGTAATTGAAGACATTGCAGTCAATGAATGTGGCAAAAGAAATACAGATGATCTAAGGCTACAACTTTCTCACAAGCAGGTTTGGATGGCTTCTTCCATTCATAGGGGAGAAGAAGAAAGTTAGTACATTCTTCATCTATACCTCCATCATTATGCTGTAAACACATGTTTGTTCCTTCGAGTCCGTTGAAATACCTGATTATTTTGATCAATATAAACTTTGAGAGAGACATTCTTGATTTATAAAAATTGACACAACATTTGCGGTTTGATTATCCTTAAATTTTCTTTGAAATAATTTGCACTCGTATTGCCAAATTAGTCATTATATCAGGTTGTATGTTTACTCTGAGGGCTGGAAAGATGTTACATGTTTGTTCAAATTGAAATACCTGATTGTTTTGATTGACATAAACATCGAGAGAGACATTCTTGATTTAGAAAATTTGTCATAAGATATGCGGTTTGACTGTCCTTAGATTTTTTCTTTGAATTTCTTTGAAATCCTTTGCACTTGTTTTGTTAATTAGTCGTTATATCAGGTTGTATGTTTACTCTGAAGGCAGGAAAGATGTTGCATGTTTCTTACATATTATCTGCCATCTTCTCAAGAATACACATCTCCTTACTTTCATTTTGCTATCTACGCAGTAATATTAGGAGTTCACACTGTCCTTATGCAGCTGCAACCTGATATCGTGACTATTATTGTTCCTCGGCATCCACAGCATGGACGAGAGATTGCCAAAGTCAGTTTTTGACTATTATTGTTTTAACTACTTGAAAATGTCTTGTTCTTTCCACTCTATACAGACTTCCCTTAACTGTTTATGCACTCTGTATTTTCTTCATATTTTCAATGATAAAAAATGACTTCAGTATTGTTTACTTATGAAATGAAAATTCCAAGGAATTTTTATATTTTTAAATGATTGTGTTTGGAATTGGTACACTTGTATTATCTGTAAATATTCTCTTGGGTACTTTGCATACAACAGAAATGATGCTCACACACAAATCACTCCCTTTTTTGATGACCTATTCTTTTATCGCCTCCGGAACTCCTTATGCTTTTTCTTGGTGTAGTACAGAAATTGGAGAGAGAAGGACATAATGTAGTTCTGAGGTCACAACACGAGAGGTTTAAGCCAGAAACAAATATTTATGTGGTGGACACTTTGGGTAAAAATTCTTTTCTCTTCAATGACATGAAATTAAATCGCTCTCATACATAAAAATCCTCATGTGCTGCTGCGAACATAGACCTCGTGATTTCTAGAGTGGTAGAGTTTGTCCGTCTGTGGTAGCCGACAGCATGTTTTACTCATGTTTAGAAGTTGTTCTTGATATATTATGAAAGATGAAATTGTCTTTTTTATTAGGGATATCAGGCATGACATATACTGTCGTCCAACTTGTTTAACAGGTGAATTAAGACAGTTGTACACATTAACACCAATAGCTGTGATCGGGGGTTCATTCCTCCCTGGTTTGTCTGGCCATAATATCTCAGAAGCTGCAGCAGCTGGCTGTGCTATTCTGACAGGTACAAGATTTGACCTTTTTTGTAGTTCTTATAAATCCCAACACAGTATTTTAGTAGCTGGAACTCATAAGTGATTTCAGGTCGCCATGTTGGCCATTTCTCCCACATGGTACTGGAAATGCAACAAACGAATCCTCTGTCAGTACTTCAGGTAGGAAAGATGTCTCATTTGCTAATTGAAATTGTTCAACACCATGAAACAATTCTTCTTAAACTGTTATCTTTTGTCGCTCGTAGGTTTCTGGAAAACAGGAGCTTGAAAGATCTCTCATTGAGCTTTTCACAGATACAACACTTCTTGAAGCCCGTCGTAGAGCTGCAAAGGAAGCAATTTGTATGTTGTCCAATGGCATTGTTACGAATATATGGAGTTTGCTAAATTTTCATATTTTTAGTAGATTGTTTACCGAGATGAAGCCTCCTAATATCATAGCTAAAAGACTATGAAAAGTAAAACTTCATAACTCTGAGCATTTAACTTGCGATAGAAGTATACATAAATTTCTATCCCATTTCCCTGTGATGGTAGTCTGTTTCCTTAATAAATTTCAAGGAAAAATCAGTTTAGCATTATGGGGCTGCCATTAGTCAATTCAACTCTCTAAACTTTAGTGCTTTCTTACTCCTCCTTTAGCATTTTGTTAGTTGCGATGTTCTGCGTTTGCAAGCTTGAAGAGTTTAGATACCCGGATTTTCACTTTTATTCAGGAGCATTGTGATAGGGATTTGGGTATTATGGGGTGCCCAAATCCCTCGGTTAGTAGTATGGGATGCTCAATGAAGTATTTAAGTAGCTCATGTTTTCCCCTTTGATAGCTAACTTTGAAGGGAAGGTTTCCCAAGTGCACGGATACTTATCAATTGGTACCAGAGCTGGTTGCTGCTAGCTCAAAAGAGGCTATACGGAAGGCCGAGAAAAGCAACTTAGAGTTCAACGGAATGTCAACTCTCAAAGGAGGTGCTATGGTGGAACTTAGGTATTATGGGATTTCCAAGTCCCATTTCGATTTGTATGAAATGCTCAGTAGAGTATCTAAGTGACCTGGTTCTTCCCCCTTTATAATAGCTTTCAAAGAAAGGTTCTCCAAGCGTTTCAATACTTATCACATTGATATGAATTATTTCTTATCACATTGATGTTTTTGGTCCAACCAACTTTTGCTTATCTTTGAGACCGCTGAGAGACTTTGTTAAGTTAAATACATCAAGTTTATGAGTTGAGCAACACTCATCTCCAATTTGGGAACTTTAGCGCAAACACATGAGGATTTCTCAAAAGCCCTATGGTATGCATTTGTTAAGAGTCCCGTATCCAATAAAATATGACTTGAACATATGTTTATAAGTGAAGATAACTTTCACCTTACAAGTCATTTTTCTAGAGTTGAGTTAGACTCAACCACAATTCTAAGACGAAATTAAAGTCTATCTAAGATGTAAGATCCGTTGGACTACCCCTAATCAGGATTCCTCTATCAAGCTACCTACCACTTATATCTGCACACCAAACCCAATAATCTTATGGTAATCTTATCTTAATCAGTCATATCTTAATCTTTCAAAATTGAACGTGGCTGGCTGGCTGCAACCTAGTTTGATTGAAACTAAAAATCAAAATGAACTCTTGGGATATAGTCGGCTGCAACCTAGTTTGATTGAAACTAAAAATCAAAATGAACTCTTGGGATATAGTCGGCTGTTGATTTATTAATGTTTATTATCCTCAAAACAACTTATGTCTCTGCTTGCATTTTAATGTTCAAATACTTAGGTTTTTCTCTCTTCCTTTTTCAGCCTAAAGATATCATTCAAATGCATCTAACCATAACTTAGTTGTATTAATGCATCATTAGAGACTGTCATATAGCATATCAGTTACAAATAGATACATGCATTATTACATATTCAGGTACATGGGAATTACACACGCTACACACACGAGCGCAGAAATTAATCTACAGAAGAATGGGAATTACACATATACACACACGAGCACAGAAATTAATCTACAGAAGAAAAAAGGTAGGTAGGTAGATAGGTGGGTAGCAGATATTGCATCTGGACAATCTGACATGACATCATCTTGGAAATATAACATGGCTGTTAAGAACTACTCATGGACAATAGTGAATGTCAACGACCAAGGACAGTAAAGGAGAAAGCTGTTCTCTTCAGTTACTGTTAATGCTTGTAGTTATTGCTCCTTTTGCTGTCAAAAGCTTCAAGTAGTGGTACTGAGTCTTTGGAAAAGCACAAATCTATCTTTTTTGTAAGCACATGCGAAGAGGATCGGCGTGTCTGTGTATGTGTCCCTCCTCCAAGTGAATGAAGAATATCTTCAAATATGAACTCATCACAAGGTATAGCCAGAGGACCACTCTTGTTAAATCCATATCCTTCATATGCTTGGTCTAGCAGTTGTTGAAGCACTGGATGATTCAGGTAGTCAGCTCTTATCACAAACCTCCTGTTTGCCTCTCCTACAGTCACAGCCAAGTGACCTCTCGGGACGTCTGATGGTGGTTTCTTCCCACTGCAGGCATTCTTGCGCCACATGCATGCCATTTTTTCTTTCTTCCAGGTAGTGTTAATATTGAGGATGAGGTTCTTGGTAGTGGATTATACTGCAAAACATGATACAGACTACACTCTTATATTAAGCACTTTATTTCTCATCTGACAAGTTTTGAGACACATTGTGTGGTTTGGAAAACGACCGAACCGAATCCGTAATGTTTTTTGACAAAGGTTGGGTATGGTAGTTTGCTGTAGTCCTTTTTGTTCCATGCTAACACGTTAGTTCCATTTTTCATTATTTTGTATACCTTTAATACGCCATTAATGAAACGAAAAGGATGTAGTTGCCCTTAGTATTGTTGGTACAGGAGTGTATGTTGGTTGTTTAATATTATTGCTTTTCATAACTAAACTAAATTTGATCAACTTTTTAGGTTTAATTGCATTTTTATTAGCATCCATCCAATTGAGCAAACTTGGTCTCATTGTTATATTTTGTTCAGTTTTTTCTTTGTTTTTCGAAATGACAAGTGTTGCTTATTATTTTGATAGTTTTTAGTGTGTATGTTTTGTTAGTTTTGAACAAGGAGTAATTTAGTAAAAAAGAGCAACAGTTCGGTTAAACCTCCTCTTAACCAGCTCAATTGATAAATATGCATCAACATCTAAACGTAGAAATACATATTCGAATCTGTAACACAGTTCAGTTAAACCTCCTCTGTAAATCTTAAAGTCTACTTTGACTTTGGTGAATCCTGAAATCCAACTCCTCGACTTTTTGTAATAAAAGAAATTGTGTTCAAAACGCTTTCCACTTTCTATGTTCATACTAGTTAGGTTTGCCTAAAAAAAAGTTTGTACTAAGGTGTCCCACAAGCTAACTTTTTCACATAAGCCAATTCCAATAGGATTTATAGGGTACTTAGGTTTCATAAAAAGGTTGGTCTTATCCAATAAAATGTACATGGCAAGTTTGTTTCTTTTTGGTAATATAAGTTGTTAATTTCACATTGTATAGAAAGAGATTAAGTATTAATTTTAATTGTCATATTCAACATTAAAAAAGTTTTACACCATACAGTCTATCACAACCATATTTATAAACATGAATGTGTTAATACTTAGAATAAAAATTACATATTTTTAATGATGCAGTAATTATGAGTTAAATATTTTTAATGATGAAATACAATAACTTTTTGTTCCCACAGTATATATAAGAGTCTAACGTTATTCAATAAAAATATATCATTATATTATATTATATTATATTAATAATTAAATTTTTTTGGCATGATTTAACAAAATACATAATTATTGATTAAATGATAGTGTAAATTTTTCTCTCCAGTATATACAGAATGACAGTAAATACTCTGTATACCCTATATTTTTTTCTTCCAACTTTCAATATTTCAATTCTTGGTTAGCTGTTGAGGCTGTGAAAAGAAAAGGAGAGCATAACTTTTTGAAGTAACAAAAATTATCTTTAATCTATTTTAAGCTTAATAATGGTTTTGAAAGGACTTAATTAGTTCATTGTTCATAGTGATGATGTTTCTATGGCTACATACATTCAAATAATCAAATTGTTACTAATGACAATTGTTTATTTACTTCTTTTGGTGAATAACTTTTTGTATAGTGACAAATTGTTCTCGTACGTTAGCATAAAATAAGAAAATTGTGAAGGGCAAAATCTGGTAGAAATGATACGGAAATAGGACTAATTCCAGCGAAATGTACCTCTAGTGTGCGGTTCTTTTGTCATGTGTGTTCACGTGTTAACCATAATACGATGATGCCTCCTAAATTAAGACCGACAATCTAACCTATTGCATCATGTTCAGTAAAGAATCACTAATCGTATGTTTGTTTTTATCAACTTTGGGTGGCACTTTCGATCAAGATTGTTAACATCCCCACTTAGCTCTTGTAATATAGTACAAGTCTATCTATCCATCTTGAGTTAACTTAGCTGTAAATTTGAATTTTATTAAAATTTATTCTGGTGTGGAATAAAAGATTGATGACTGTGTTGATGTGAAGTTTTTTGATACGGTAATATAGATCTCTAATACGTATGAGCAAAGATGTGTATGTAAGATTAACACTCTAATATATAAATCAATGAGATTAAAACAGTAAAATTTTGTAAGAAAAATTAATGAAATTGTACTTGTTATAGCGCATAGACGAACTTATATATTGTTGGGGGTTGAAACCCTTCCTGTTGGTGCGGCATGAAATACAAAAAAAAACGTTAAATTGGATCTAACGACTTAAGATGAACAAGTGGCTTGACTCCGATACGCGTCCTTCTGAAGAGAGTCCACATGTCCATCGATGTAATATGGAAGTGTAATAGATTGGACCCTCCCGTATTGGGTCGATCTTATTGGACCTTTTAGTCGGTCCAAAATAGTTGCTCCCAAGTCCTTGCCACAAAATATGGAGCCACGATTGAGATGAAAGCATTGAGATCAACCTCAAGACCATTCTTCTTTGTTGTCTCGAAGTAATTTGACCAATGACGTATTTCGTGGGAAAAAGTTGTTAATTCTCTATTTTTAAGATTAACATTACTTTTAGTAAAAAAAATATAGCAGCAATATGTTAGATAGGATGTCTTAACTTGTTAAGCAGGAACAAGTTGAGCAAGAAGTCTTATCTTATGAAGGAACATGTTGAGTTGAAATATTTCAACATCTGGAGCAATATGTCATATAAGATATCCTATGCAGGGTCATACGACATCGCGTCTGAGCTAAGCTGGATTAGTGAATTCAGTTATGATTTAACAATTGCAGAATATTCTAGGAAGATTATGCAATCTTATGTGGTGCTGATTTAAAGGTCTGAAAGAATCAAGTCAGAATATTGAAGAATATGCACTTTCTAATTATGGAGATAATTTAGGAAACTAATGATTGAAGACCTTGTTTGTAGTAAAAGTTTATGCTGGTTTGTAACAGCTGATATGCTGTGATTAGAAGCCCAAGTCCAATTAAGAATAGGTTATAAATAGAATGCTTGTAACCTAGAAAAGGCACGGGTCCAAGATGTTGAAGTTTAGGGCTTTGTCTTTGTACCAGCCGAGAAATAGAAAGATGTAATCATTAGGGCCGAGTCTGTACCACTCTCTAAGAGAGTTGGTTGTTTGATCCACTCGACATGTGAGTTGGATTGTGTTCCTTGAGGTGCAAGGTTTTGTTATCACTCAAAAGTCTTTAGGTAATGAATTGATTATTGTTTTTGGAGGAAGCTTTTAAGCAATTTCAATTTGTGTTCTTAGTTATGAGTAATGTTGTAAATAATGGAGTTTAGCTTTAGGTCTTGACTGAGTATTGTCATGGAAATGTGTCTTCTATTTGCTGTCATAGAAGTGTGTCTTCCTATTTGTGTCCAATCGCTGTATGTGATTGATGAGGGATTAAGGAGAGTCTCATATCTAGGTGAGTCTTACATAGAAGTATAGCATGGGTAGTGATTAAGTGAGTAGATCATAAACTGGTATGTTAGTT